GAATTGCTTTCTTGTCTGTATTAACACCAAGTCCTATGCTATGTTTATATTTGGGTTGCTCCAGGCTGATGCTTTTAAAAGAACTACTGGAGATAATACTGTTAAAGCAATGCAAGGATGGTTTGGGATTTTCCTAAAACCACAGGAAATTCAATCTGATAATGTTTCTCACTTTACTGTCAAAAGTGTGCAGGATAGGGCAGAAGGTGAAAAGATTAAATGGACTTTTCACACCTCTTACTATAGATGGGGGGTAAATGAGTGTTCCAAAATCACTGCTTTTTGCCCAACAGCTCCAAGCACAGTTCCTTCACTACAGGGACCAGATGATGATTTCAAGAACCCAGCACATTACCCTGGACAACCTGCTTTTGGTGGACTCCCTGCTGCTGTAGGGGAAGTACCACTGCTGTTCAAAACCTCTCTGACCATTCCATTGTTCTAATTTTTCTGCCTTTTTGTTGCAGAGTCTGTTGTGTTTACTTTTTCAGAAGAACTCCAAGGGACAGGAAGACCTGATAAACCATGATAACACTAGAGATGGACAACAGAAATAATGTTTTCCCTTCCCTTTATGGTAACACCAGGTGATGATATGATACATAACATGTAAATTAATTGAACTTGAATAAATTGGCTGTCACAATTGGAGATTTGACCAAATTACATCAACCACTGCAGTCGTTCTTATTGGCTTTTGTGAACACACCAGTGGCTGCTATCAAACATATTACCAAATTGGGAGAAGGTAAATGTAAATGATCACAACTTGATAATTGATGCACTTGGTGCTACACAAAACAATGTTTCTTTGGCTCTCAGCTGTATCCAGACACAATTGTGGATGCAGTCAGTTTTTGCTTCAATTATAAGAGAAGGTAAAGAAGGCACTTTTCCCACTGAAATTTAGAAAATCCCCCAGCCCGAGGGAGGTGTGTGGGGAGGCAAGCTGACTGAAGCGAGATGTTTGCCTGCAGGTTGTGACCACTGGAGCAAGAAAACAATGGCTCTCGCTTACTGCTGAGAACATAGACTACTTATTACATCTATCAAGCTCATTTACTGCTGACTACCTGTTATAAAAACCTCTGAGGTATCTAGAGCCTTTGAGATCTCCCCAGCGTAGCAGGCGGAGACTTCGACTGGACTGGACCAAAGAACTTCGTCTCTGCATTGGTAGCTATATCCCCTCTCCCCCCCTCTTTCTCTCTTTCTCCATCTTTTTCTCTCTCCCTTAATCCCTCTATCGCGTTTTTGCTGTAGTTATTTCAACAAAACTGCATTTGATTTGATTATCACTGCAAGCCCCTTTGTACCATGTTGGTTTTTGCACTCTGAGATCATTCCTACGAACCATCAGGTCATCTGTCCACTAGGATGGACCCTGACATTCTTCACCTGATCAAGTTATTCCATTGCAATAGTTTGGGGAGTATCTTAGAGGGCTGGGTGTTGTTTGGTTTGAAACCATCTTGATCATTCAGGAACCCAGTAGCAATGAGAAAGTTCAAAATAAGATAGTGCTACGCATTGATTTTCATATATGACAGACATATTTCTTCAACACAGAAGACTGACCTAATGCTTCACTACAACATGGCTGAAGTGGCATCCTCTTCCCCATAGGTTTTTCTGTTTACTTTTAGCTGCTTTCATACCAGATTATTGAGCTGAACTAGCTCAAAAAGGAATCAGATAAGTGCCAGAGCTTTAAAACAAAACAAAAACCAATATCTCTAGAATGATATTGCTTCAACGGTTTCAGTTTGTTTCCCCCCCCCCCTTCAATTCTAAACGTTATGCATTCTTTTTGGCCATTTCAGTAAATAGATTTTCTGATTCGTGTGAAAGACTGTCTGAAGTCTCCCCCATTTGCCTCACTACCTTTCCCAGGACAGACATTGGGACCCTAAAGACCCTGATGCGAATTCTGGCCTGCCGGTGGTGGATGAATGCCGAAAATCCTGAGGCCCCTGAGCAGAATTCTGGCCTGCCAAGTGATTGTTCACAGCCATGCCTACAGTGACTGCTTCTAGCAGGGCCTGCCAAAGGGCAACACGCCCTATATGCTTGCACCTGCTTTGCAACAATAGGCCAGGAATTTTCCCACCTCTTGGCCAGATGAACTTGCTGAGGCAACTTTGGTTGTCGCCTCATGGAAAATCCTTCATCTGCTCCACTACCACCGTGAGGGATGGAGATTGAAGCCTCCCTACCAAGGACTGAGACTGAGACACCCGAAATTCTGATCCAGGGGTGCTGGCCTGACTGAAGCAGGATGCCTGCTAAGTGTTGCCTACAGATGTGTTCACTGGACCTAGACTGGTTTCCCATAGAAAGCAGTCCTGAAACAGTGGGTCGCACTCACTGCTGATATTGACTTATCCTGCTGAGAACATGGACTGTCTGTACCTGTCTTCAATACCTTTGTCCCCCTCAGCGATTTCAATAGACTTCTTCTTCTTCTTGATTGTATCTGTTCCCTCTCAGCCATTTCAAGATCTGTTTCCCCCCCCCAGCAATGGACTATAGTAGAACCTTGAATTAACCAAGACTTTGAGATCTTCCCGACATGACTAGGCAAATTCTATCGGCTGGACTACGAGGACTTGGTCTCTCCACGTTTGTTAGCTATACTCCTGTCCTGGTTCAGGGCAAATTTTGGAGAGAATCCCCAAAGGGTCTTCTCTAGGAAAGCAGATTCATTTGGCCCCTCCCCCCAACTGGTCCAGGAGAAAATACCTCCTTGGAAAAAAGTGGAAAACCAGTTTATTAAACAATGAAACCTAAACAATATTAAACAATAAACCACTTTGTTGTTCCAAAAGAGATGACAAACTGAGAAAGTCCCCTCTCCGGTGCTGGAAATGTCGTGGGCCAGGCCCGGCCCAGTGGGCCACAGGTGCTAGCTGACGGTGCCCTTCTGGGTGTTCAGTCCAGAGCAGGTTTCAAGAGGTCCAAAGAAAAGGGAAAAAAGAAAAAAAAAAACCACAGTCCAGGGAACTTCTTTGCCTCAGCTAGCTAAATCTAACTAAAAGAAATGGAGAGCTCTGTCCCGCTGTCTGTTCATCCACAGACAACACAGTCCAGGAGCACGAATGTGGAGGAGTGAGTGCAGTGTCTGAAAACAAATTGCAGGCTTCTTCTCTCCCCCCTTCACTCTCTGCAACAAGTCTTAAAGGTGCAAAACTTATTATTCAGCATAAACAGAACAAGACAACTGGGGATAAAAGCATCATATAGTCAACCTAAGACAATTCCCTCTCTTTCTCCCTCTCTTTTCTATTCTTTTCCTCTCCCTAATTCCTTTCACGCATTTGCTGTGGTCATTCTATAAAGGTGTATTTGTTTTGATTGATACTGCAATCCCCTTTCCATGTTGTCTGTTGTACTCTGAGATCAGTTAACAAACCATCACCACCCCTGTTCGTATGAGCAGATCTCGACGTTAAATTGGCATCACGGACAGGATTCTGATAGACAGAGGGGTCTGCAGGGCTGTTTGTAGTCTGTATCAGGGGAAGGACGATTTGCTTCAGCCACACCTATCTCCTCATCCTGAAAGGGTTGAACCAAGCTGGAAAGCAAGGAAAGCTCTTCGAATTTCCTGCAAACTGAGCACGCCCAGGTGAAATACATTCCCATACTCTATTGAGGGTTCTGTCTTTAGAATTTCCCAAAAGATCTCTTAGTGCAAAAGGGGAAACTGTTTTTGTTTATGTGTGAATTTGGACTGTCTGGGAAGGAAGGGACAAATTGAAGAAACTAAGCAGGGCCTCCCAGAGAGATTTTGTCTCTTCATCCAGCCAGAGAAGAAAAGGGGAACACAGCAGAGACTGTGAGATTGTCTAACTTAAGTTTGCACCTCTCTGTCGTGGTTTTGGTCCCTTCATAAAATGACTGAAAACTCTAGTGCAAAAGTTAAAGCAGAATTTCTGTTCTGCTTGCTAAGAACAATGCCAAGCCTTCTCCAAAGGGGAGGTTTGGGCAGAGAACAACTGGTTTAATTTAGGAAATGTCATATATAGAATTTGTTCTTTACAACATGAAACAGAATTTAAACTGGGCAAAAATAAAACCATCCTCTGCTCAGTCTTGGGAGCTTGTCTCACAGCTGCCATAGAAACCCATTTTAAGTGAAGAAATGAGGAAATAGCAAGAATAGATTCCCTTTAAAACCTAGTTGAAATTTTGCAAAAAGACTTAAAGGAAGATAGAAATGAGATCTTTATGTTGTGAGCTGCCCTTAGAGAGGAACTTGCTAAGAATTCACATCAAACTGATTCCTCTACAGAGGCAGAGGAAAAGGAAACTCTTCAGATTAAACAAATCAACCCCCATAAGGAACTTGAGGCAGTAAAAAATTGGGGAAAATACTGTGGTCCTCACTTGAGACCCTTGGTTCAAAAAGAATAGAACTATATTAATGATGAGGAATGTTGGGGGACTGTCCTAGGGTGATGTTATGATGCTTGTATCCCCATTCATGTGTTCTGTTTATGTTGGATATTATGTTCTGTGCCTTTAAGACTGTCTCTGAAGAATGAAAGTTTTGTTTGGGTTTTTTTATTAGCGTGGCGGGACACAGAGACAGGGCAGTACATAGTGCTGCTTTTGCGTTTTTGCTTTTGCTTTTCGCTTTGCTCTCTCGCTCTTGCTTCTGCTTTGTGCCTGCTTGCTCTTACCTCTGCTCATTAGCTAGTTCAGCTAAACAGTCCAAATTTCTTCCTGGACCGTTCCTCCTTTCCTTTTTTGAACCAACTTGAACCTGCTCCGGACTGGGACCTGGGAAATACCTAGAGTTTGCACCGTGTGGCTGCAGCAGCTGCCCCAGCGCTGGAGGAACTGAGAACAGGGCGACCACCCCCAAGAGAGAGAATGTCTGAATTTGTCATCTTTTTTCAGAGTGGTGAAAGAGTGGTGTAATCTGATACTGATCATTTTGTGTGCTGAGGGGTGCTGTGCCTGTTAAATAAACAGGTTCTTTCAACTTCTCTCTGAGGAATTCTTCCTGAACCGGTTGGGGTGAGGGGCCATGTGGGTTTGCTTTCTGGAGGGGCCTCCCTTTGGAGACAGGGCAAAACCAGGACAAAATTTGGCACATAATGCGTGGGGCTCAAGAGAGAGTGACAAAAACCCTGTTTTGAGTGCATTTTTGGTTGCATTTATATGAACTCTGTGTTCATATAAAGCAGATAATAGCCATGCTTTTTGAATTCATAATGTCTCTTGGGGTGAAGACTTGCATGCATTTCTGGTCCCTAGGGTTTTTTAAGATCTTAATACCTCTGTGGTCCCTAGGTTTATTTTCTTATCCAGAAATAGCTCTAGTATTGTCCCTAATAGGTAGTTTTTACAGCAGAGGGGCAATGACTAGAATAGCTCTCCTGCTGGGCTCGGTGGTAATGATTTGTAAGCAGTTTATAAACATGCTGGGGTCTTCAGGTATAAATGGTTTGTGGCTATGGTTAGGCATCCAGTTTGTTAGAGAAGGAGTAGGGGATGAGGCTTTTCAGCCTTTGCTTTCCTTCTCCTCTGAATCTATTGCACCACTATTAAAGAATGTCCAGTTTCCCCTGAATATTAAAGAGACCATCTTTCTGGTATTCAATCTGGTAACCTTCCTCTATACAGTCTGCTGCTTCTCTAGAATGAGGGCAGAGTTTTCTAGACAGGCTGATGAGACCCTTGACTCAGGAGTAGACCCAGATGTGGAAAATCCTGAGTGGTGTGGGAAATGGGAGGATATGGGCCAAATCCTGAAGGAATTCTCTGACCCTATAGTCTGGGACTTTCCCCATGAACAAATTCAGAACCCGGCTGAGGTGGAGAAATACCTGAAAGAGAAGTAGCAGGATGACCCTAAGGAGGAAAAGATCATTGCAGTGAGCTGGGCCCTGGCTTGTGCTAATCACACATTGCTAGATACTGTCGGGCAGCAGACAGAGGCAGGGGGGCAGGAAGATAAATCAGCAGCTATCCCAGTCACTGAGGCTACAGCCAATACCCCAGGCTTGATGCCAGCAGCCAAACTAGATAGTGAGCCTAAGCCAGCAACTAAACCAATGGCTGCTGCTACTAGCACAAGAAGTGGGAAATGCATGGACAAGACTAATTGACCAGTGGATGATGATGATGATGATGATGATGCAGGAGAAGGCACTTCAATGCCTCCTGACATAAAATCAGGAGTCAAAGCAGCAGGTGTAAGATCAGAAGCCAATATTGAGTCCTTTTCCCTGAAGGACCTTCATGGCCTATGGAAGGATTACACTCAACAACCTGATGAAACCATAATTAGTTGGTTAGTCCATCTCTGGGATGCTGCAGGCAAGGCTACAATTCTGGATGGCACTGAAGTGAGGCATTTGAGATCCCTGTCACAGGATCCTCGACCAAATAATTATGAGAGGGGCTAATCGACACAGCCTCTGGACACGGGTCTTGGAAAGTGTTGCACAAAGATACCTGTGTGCCGATGATCTTTATATGCCGCAAACCCAGTGGAAGACCATAGAGCAAGGGATTCATCGCCGGAGAGATACAGCAGTGGCAGAGATTATCTTCTCAGATGATGTAACAACTGGGAATCCAGACTTGGTACCATGCACGTCTGTGATGGTGGTGAAAACTGGTGCAACTTGGGCCACACTCTGGCTGCTGCCTTTCCCAGCCCTGGCACGTCAGCCCCTGAGCCTGCTGCCATGCTCCCTTGCTGCCCCTCAGGGGCCTGTCCCCATAGGGCTGGGCTGCCTGGCTGCTGCTGACGAAGGCCAGTGGGCAGAGGCAGAGCCAGCGGTCAGCCTGGGCCCCTAGGGATGCCCAGGCCACGGTGCTGTGTCTGAGACCCCCCTGAGACAGAGCTGTGACCCCGCAGAGCTGCCATGGCCATGTGGAAGACCATGATGTGTTTGCCCAGGATTGTGGAGCCAGTGCAGCTGATCCTCCTGGATGTGCTGGGGAGCTGGC